GACTACAGGCCCAGACAACTCGGCCTGGCAAGAGACGGGAGGAAGGCGGACAGGGCCAACTGCCAATATACAAGGAACCCACAGCAGTGAGGAGCCGAAAGGGCCCATGGAGATGGGAAAGCAAGCAAATGGGAGCCGTACAGGGACCCATGACACATCTGGACCTGGCAGCACCATGAGGAGGCGGTACAGGGGCCCATGACAGATTAACGGGGCCTGGGGCAGTACAGCATGAAGGAGTCAGGTACGAGGGGCCCATGGCAGATTACGGGCCTGGGCAGCATGGCAAATGGTAGGCCCGTAATCTGCCAGCCACCCTATGACACAAAATGGACTACACACCAGCAGTGTGAGGAGGTCTAAAGAGTGGCACATGACAAGAGTGTGGCGTATGGAGACAGCACCAATGGTCGGACGGCCGGTACCAGCGGACCACCCATGACGACACTGCGTGGACCTGGCAGCAGCATGAGGAGGCCCGTAATCTGGTACAGGGGCCCTATGACAATTACGGGCCATGGCAACCAGCAGTGTGAGGAGGCGCCGGTAATTAAGGGCCAGCATGAGAGATTCGGTACGGGGCCCATGGCAGATTACGGGCCTGGCAGCAGCAATGGGAGGCCCGTAATCTGCCAGCACCCTATGACAAAATGGAACCCACCAGCAGTGTGTGAGGAGACCTGAAAGTGGCACATGGCAGAGTTGTGGCGATGGAGACAGCAGCAATGGAGGCCGTACAGGGACCCATGGACACACTCTGGACCTGGCAGCAGCATGAGGAGGCGGTACAGGGGCCCATGACAGATTACGGGCCTGGCAGCAGCATGAGGAGACCCGGTACAGGGGCCCATGGCAGATTACGGGCCTGGCAGCAGCAATGGGAGGCCCGTAATCTGCCAGCACCCTATGACAAAATGGAACCCACCAGCAGTGTGAGGAGACCTGAAAGTGGCACATGGCAGAGTGTGGCGATGGAGACAGCAGCAATGGGAGGCCGTACAGGGACCCATGACACACTCTGGACCTGGCAGCAGCATGAGGAGGCGGTACAGGGGCCCATGACAGATTACGGGCCTGGCAGCAGCATGATGGGAGGCCCGGTACGGGGGCCCATGGCAGATTACGGGACCTGGCAGCAGCAATGGGAGGCCGTAATCTGCCAGCACCCTATGACAAAATGGAACCCACCAGCAGTGTGAGGAGACCTGAAAGTGGCACATGGCAGAGTGTGGCGATGGAGACAGCAGCAATGGGAGGCCGTACAGGGACCCATGACACACTCTGGACCTGGCAGCAGCATGAGGAGGCGGTACAGGGGCCCATGACAGATTACGGGCCTGCCAGCAGCATGAGGAGAGTCGGTACGGGGGCCCATGGCAGATTACGGGCCTGGCAGCAGCAATGGGAGGCCCGTAATCTGCCAGCACCCTATGACAAAATGGAACCCACCAGCAGTGTGAGGAGACCTGAAAGTGGCACATGGCAGAGTGTGGCGATGGAGACAGCAGCAATGGGGGAGGCCGTACAGGGGACCCATGACACACTCTGGACCTGGCAGCAGCATGAGGGAGGGCGGTACAGGGGCCCATGACAGATTACGGGCCTGGCAGCAGCATGAGCCCGTAATCTGCCAGCACCCTATACGGGGGCAAAAATGGCAGATTACGGGCGCATGGCAAGGAGAGCCTGAAAGCCATACTAAAATTTGGGACCCAGACAGTGTGATGGAGACCTGGCAGCAGCATGAGGAGGACAAAAAGGTACACAGGGGCCCCATGACAGATCTACGGCGGTACAGGGGCCCCTGGCAGCACATGAGGAGTCGGTAACGGGGGCCCATGGCAGATTACGGGCCTGGCAGCAGCAATGGGAGGCCCGTAATCTGCCAGCACCCTATGACAAAATGGAACCCACCAGCAGTGTGTGAGGAGACCTGAAAGTGGCACATGGCAGAGTGTGGCGATGGAGACAGCAGCAATGGGAGGCCGTACAGGGACCCATGACACACTCTGGACCTGGCAGCAGCATGAGGAGACGGTACAGGGGCCCAGACAGATTACGGGAGGCTGGCACATTGAGGCCCATCGGGCAGATGGCAGATTACGGGCCTGGCAGCAGCAATGGGAGGCCCGTAATCTGCCAGCACCCTATGACAAAATGGAACCCACCAGCAGTGTGAGGAGACCTGAAAGTGGCACATGGCAGAGTGTGGCGATGGAGACAGCAGCAATGGGAGGCCGTACAGGGACCCATGACACACTCTGGACCTGGCAGCAGCATGGAGGCGGTACAGGGGCCCATGACAGATTACGGGCCTGGCAGCAGCGAGAATGAGGAGTCGGTACGGGGGCCCATAGTGGCAGATTACGGGCCTGGCAGCAGCAATGGGAGGCCCGTAATCTGCCAGCACCCTATGACAAAATGGAACCCACCAGCAGTGTGAGGAGACCTGAAAGTGGCACATGGCAGAGTGTGCGATGGAGACAGCAGCAATGGGAGGCCGTACAGGGACCCATGACACACTCTGGACCTGGCAGCAGCATGAGGAGGCGGTACAGGGGCCCAGTACATCGGTGGGCCCAGCAGCAGCATGGGGAGGCCGTACAGGACCCATGACAGACACCTGGGCCTGGCAGCAGCATGAGGAGTCGGTACGGGGGCCCATGGCAGATTACGGGCCTGGCAGCAGCAATGGGAGGCCCGTAATCTGCCAGCACCCTATGACAAAATGGAACCCACCAGCAGTGTGAGGAGACCTGAAAGTGCACATGGCAGAGTGTGGCGATGGAGACAGCAGCAATGGGAGGCCGTACAGGGACCCATGACACACTCTGGACCTGGCAGCAGCATGAGGAGGCGGTACAGGGGCCCATGGCAGATTACGGGCCTGGCAGCAGCTAAAAATGGGAGCCCGTAAGCTGCCAGGACCCCCTATGAATGGCAAATTATGGAACCTGGCAGCAGCACATGGGAGGCCGTACAGTGGACATGTGATGACACAGTCTGTCCGACCTGAGCACAAGGCAGCAATGGGAGGACAGCAGCAATGGGAGGCCGACAGGGCCCATGACACACTCTGGACCTGGCAGCAGCATGAGATGCGAGGGTATGGGGGCCCATGGCAGAAGCTACGGCCTGGCAGCAGCAATGGAGGAGCCCCGTAATCTGCCAGCACCCTATGACAAAATGGAACCCACCAGCAGTGTGAGGAGACCTGAAAGTGGCACATGGCAGAGTGTGGCGATGGAGACAGCAGCAATGGGAGGCCGTACAGGGACCCATGACACACTCTGGACCTGGCAGCAGCATGAGGACGCTGTACAGGGGCCCATGACAGATTACGGGCCTGGCAGCAGCATGAGGATCGGTACGGGGGCCCGTAAGAGGCCTGGCAGCAATGGGAGGCCCGCACCCTATGACAAAATTGGAACCCATGACCAGCAGTGTGAGGAGACCTGAAAGTGGCACATGGCAGAGTGTGGCGATGGAGACAGCAGCAATGGGGCCGTACAGGGACCCAGACACTCTGGACCTGGCAGCAGCATGAGGAGGCGGTACGGGGGCCCATGGCAGATTACGGCCTGGCAGCAGCATGAGGATGGGAGGCCCGTGGCAGAATCTGCCAGCAGCCCCTACAGCACATGACAAAATGGAACCCACCAGCAGTGTGAGGAGACCTGAAAGTGGCACATGGCAGAGTGTGGCGATGGAGACAGCAGCAATGGGAGGCCGTACAGGGACCCAAGACACACTCTGGACCTGGCAGCAGCATGAGGAGGCGGTACAGGGGCCCATGACAGATTACGGGCCTGGAGCAGCAATGGGAGGCCCGTAATCTGCCAGCACCCTATGACAAAATATGGAACACACCAGCATAACCGTAAAGTGGCACAGTGTTTGGGGCATGATTCATGGCGGATTTAGTCAGTTGTGTCAGGAACTGGTGGTTTGAAATCCAGACTAATCCACAGCCTGATTCATTTCACAAAACGTGAGTCTCTCCCACTTTGGGTGGACAGTCGTGTCCATGGCGGAGTTACAATACTCCTGGCCGCACTAAACACGTGGAACACGTCTCCGATGCCACGCTACTGGCCGGCATGACAGCCTTTTTCAAGGCAAATTCAGCTAGTTGGGGCCAAAGGTCAAGTTTCGTTGCCCAGTAAAGTCAAGGGGATTGTCTAACCTCGGTTGGCATGGCAGGGTGTTGCTGTCCAAGTAGGAGCCTGTTGTTTGAGGTCCTGCTCCAGGTCCGACAACCTCGCACCTCAGCATCAGCGGGAGGCAGGATGGGAGGTCTCACGATGGCTGGGCCAAGCAGCACTCATGGGAGCCCGTCGGCCAACTGAGGGCTGTAAGAACGATTAAGAAGGAACTTGTGATGTGCAGGAGACGAGAAAGTGTGATGGAAGCTGGGCTGGAGCAGGCAGAACCGCCGCAATCAGGTTTTTCCCAGGCCGTCACGAATGGCGACGGCTGCATATGCTGACGCAACCTGTACTCCCAACAATGGGCCCCTGGCCACGCTTGACTTTCTGGCCACATAGTCGACATGGAATACGGCTACGTACTTCTTTGCCTGGCTGCTGCTTGACAAAAATTGCCACACACCCGTACTGACCGCCCTAGGAAACTTTGCCCCCACGCGTACTCCTCTGACGGCTGAACCTGCTGCTACTTCCTCCGTGCACACTCGGCACCCATGGGACTGGCCGTGGTGGTACGGCTGCAGTGGAGCTGGATGCTCCTACTCCCGTGGCCGTTTGCCTCCCACTGACACTGCTGCGACCCTGTGGCTACCGTCCTGGGCAGGCAACCCACCGACTGTTTGTGCTCGCTGCCAAGCTGAAGCACCCTCTTGCCTCCAGGATCGATGCGGGAGGCAATAGCCTGATGACGACGATGAGGCTGCCAAGTGCGATAACACCTCGCATCATCATCAATTAGGGGTCTCCGCCTCACTACTAGCCCCCTCGGCTGCGTGAGGTGTCAGGAGACAGACCTTGTCTCTGACCGTGCTACCGAGAACCACTCCTCCTCGCCAGTACTTCTGACTGTTCGCCTGGCTGCTGAAGAGGCGGATGTCAGTGCCCCCCGTTCCTGACCGCACCTCTGTTAGCTCTTCCTCACTGTACAGTGGGGCTGAGCCCACAATGCGATACTTCGCTTGGTGAGGGAACTGACCAAAGGACTGGGCAGGTAGAGGACACATGTGATTCATGTGCTTGCTCCCGGGCCATGCCAACTAACTGGTTGTCCCCCTGACGTACCCACCGAACCTCTTGTTTGGCTGTAGGTGTCACGAGGTGACCTGGGAAGAGAGAAACGACCGAGCCAACCAATCGATTTTTGACAGGCAGGGTTGTCGGTGTGGAGACCTGACCGCTGGATGACACCGGAGCACTGGCCTCTGGCTGCGACTCAGTGCTGCCTCGACCCCTTCCTCTGCTGCCCTGAGCTAACGCTCCTGAAACATTGCCTCCTCTGATGCCACTCCTCTGCGTGTTGTCAGAAATCGCGACAGTACTCTTAATTCAACGCTGTGTCCCTGAGTAACAATTCTGTGTCCCTAGAGTAACAATTCTGTGTCCCTGAGTAACAAATTCTGTGTCCCTCAGTAACAATTCTGTGTCCCTGAGTAACAATTCTGTGTCCCTCCAGTAACGATTCTGTGTCCCTCAGTAACGATTCTGTGTGTCCCTGAGTAACAATTCTCTGTGTCCCTGAGTAACAATTCTGTGTCCCTGAGTAACAATTCTGTGTCCCTGAGTAACGATTCTGTGTCCCTGAGTAAAAACAATTCTGTGTCCCTGAGTAACAATTCTGTGTCCCTGAGTAACAATTCTGTGTCTGGCCCTGAGTAACAATTCTGTGTCCCTCAGTAACAATTCTGTGTCCCTGATAACAATTCTGATGTCCCTGAGTAACAATTCTGTGTCCCTGAGTAACAATTCTGTGTCCCTGAGTAACAATTCTGTGTCCCTCAGTAACAATTCTGTGTCCCTGAGTAACAATTCTCGGTGTGTCCCCTGAGTAACAATTCTGTGTTCCCTGAGTAACAATTCTGTGTCCCTGAGTAACAATTCTGTGTCCCTGAGTAACAATTCTGTGTGTCCCTGAGTAACAATTCTGTGTCCCTCAGTAACGATTCTGTGTCCCTCAGTAACTAATTCTGAGCTGTGTCCCTCAGTAAACAATTCTGTGTCCCTCAGTAACAATTCTGTGTCCCTGAGTAACAATTTCTGTCTGTCCCTGAGTAACAATTCTGTGTCCCTGAGTAACAATTCTGTGTCCCTCTAGTCCCTATAACGATTCTGTGTCCCTCAGTAACAATTCTGTGTCCCTAGTAACAATTCTGTGTCCCTGAGTAACAATTCTGTGTCCCTGAGTAACAATTCTGTGTCCCTGGATAACAATTCTGGTGTCCCTGATAACAATTCT